ATCTGTTACAGTAGCTTTCCTGTGCTGCTCTGCTTCCACTACTGTGCCCTTCTAACCCCCTGAACTCGGTTGCTAGGGAGATCATGTGCCCGGACCGGAGCACCTTAGACAAGGTAAATATACATCTTTCTACTATAACTATACATCTTTCTATTACAGGCTAGTTCGTATTGGAGTTAGAAGGGGATGGGAGGAGATTTAAAGTGATTCTAGAGCAATCTTAGCTTTCTGTCCTCCACCACCTCCCTAAATTCTTACCTGTGTCCTCTTTCAAACCAGTGCTCTGCATGGCTGCATCTCTTCTCTCTCTTCTCTTACTCTTCCCACAGGGACTTGAGCTTTGAAGAATGGGGAGGGGGGGTCAATCAAATGTTGGAGGAGGAAGCGGTGGTGGGACCAAGCCACACTGTGTATCTGGAGCATGGCTCTATAAACACACAGCTCAGAAGCGAGCACATACTGTGTGCCCCTATAGCAAGAGGAGGAGCCACGATTGCTGTTGGGGGACCCCAGAAGAGGAGGTTTGGGCCACTCTGTGCACAGAGCTGGTGAGTAGAACATGTTTATTATTTTACCTTTTAAAAATTTGCCTGCTGTAACACTTTAGGATTAGGTTTAGCCTATCTAGTCTAGTCTTCCACTTTAACCAGTACAGGCCAGTTCTGACATTCCTCTCCTACATGTAAACAAACATTTTTTTTCCCCTAGAAAACAACTTAACCACTTGAGCACCTGAGGATTTACCCCCCTTAATGACCAGGCCTTTTTTTGCTGTTTGGTGCTGCACTAATTCAAATGATAATTGCGCGGTCATGCAATGCTGTACCCAAACGAAATTTACGTCCTTTTTTTCACACAAATGGAGCTTTCTTTTGGTGGTATTTGATCACCTGTGCGCTTTTTATTTTTTGCGCTATAAACAAAAAAAACACGAAAATTTTGAAAAAAAACACAATATTTTCTACTTTCAGCTATAAAAAAATATATCGTAAACTCAAAGTTAGTCATGAATTTAAGCCAAAATGTATTCTGCTACATGTTTTTGGTAAAAAAAATCCCAATAAGTGTATATTGATTGCTTTGTGTGAAAGTTATAGCGTCTACAAACTATGGTATATAGATACTGTAATTTATGCCTTTTTTTGCTATACAGCGCTGCACTAATTCAAATGATAATTGCGTGGTCATGCAATGCTGCACCCAAACGAAATTTACGTCCTTTTTTTCACACAAATAGAGATTTCTTTTGGTGGTATTTGATCACCTGTGCGCTTTTTATTTTTTGCGCTATAATCAAAAAAGACACGAAAAATTTTGAAAAAAAAAACAATATTTTCTACTTTCAGCTATAAAAAAATATATCGTAAACTCAAAGTTAGTCATAAATTTAAGCCAAAATGTATTCTGCTACATGTTTTTGGTAAAAAAAATACCGTGCATTAGCGGGCAAACTGGCGCTATCTAGGAGGGGCGCTAACACTATCGGAAGTCACCAGTGACACTAGTACAGTGATCAGTAAAAATCTGTTCACTGTAATCAATGACACTGGTGACAGGGCAGTGAAGGGGTTACCTGGGGGGGGGGGGGGGGGGCGATCCAGGGGTTAAATGGGATTTCTGGTGCACTAGCGGGCAAACTGGCGCTATCTGGGAGGGGCGCTAACACTATCGGAAGTCGCCAGCAACACTGATACAGTGATCAGTAAAAAATCTGTTCACTGATCAATGACACTGGTGACAGGGCAGTGAAGGGGTCAACTCAGGGGGGGGGCGATCAAGGGGTTAGACGGGATTATTGGTGTATTAGCGGGCAATCTGGCGCCATCTGGGAGGGGCGCTAACACTATCGGAAGTCGCCAGCGACACTGATACAGTGATCAGTAAAAATTGGTTCACTGATCAGTGACACTGGTGACAGGGCAGTGAAGGGGTTAACTGGGGAAGGGGGGCGATCAAGGGATTAAACGGGATTACTGGTGCACTGGCGGGCAATCTGGCACTATCTGGGAGGGGCGCTAACACTATCGGAAGTCGCCAGCGACACTGATACAGTGATCAGTAAAAAATCTGTTCACTGATCAATGACACTGGTGACAGGGCAGTGAAGGGGTCAACTCAGGGGGGGGCGATCAAGGGGTTAGACGGGATTATTGGTGTATTAGCGGGCAATCTGGCGCCATCTGGGAGGGGCGCTAACACTATCGGAAGTCGCCAGCGACACTGATACAGTGATCAGTAAAAATTGGTTCACTGATCAGTGACACTGGTGACAGGGCAGTGAAGGGGTTAACTGGGGAAGGGGGGCGATCCAGGGGTTAAACGGGATTACTGGTGCACTGGCGGGCAATCTGGCGCTATCTGGGAGGGGCGCTAACACTATCGGAAGTCGCCAGCGACACCGATACAGTGATCAGTAAAAATTGGTTTACTGATCAGTGACACTGGTGACAGGGCAATGAACGGGTTAACTGGGGGGGGGGCGATCAAGGGGTTAAACGAGATTACTGGTGTACTGGCGGGCAATCTGGCGCTATCTGGGAGGGGGCGCTAACACTATCGGAAGTCGCCAGCGACACTGATACAGTGATCAGTAAAAATTGGTTCACTGATCAGTGACACTGGTGACAGGGCAGTGAAGGGGTTAACTGGGGGGGGGCGATCAGGGGGTTAAATGTGTCCTACGTGTGTTCTAACTGTTAGTGTAGTGCTTTCTACTCACCTTTACTGTGTCGTCTTCTCTGTCTGGAACGGAATGTGTCCAGGCAGAGAAGAATGACATCATATCCTGCTCTGTGTAAATGTCAACACAGGACAGGATAGGACAGGGACCGATCATCTGATTTCAGCCAGAAATCACTGGCTGAAATCTAATGATTGATCCCTCCTGGATCGAATCGTGTCACCCGCGGGTCGGCGGGAGCGCGCGCGCGCGCCCCCTACCCGCGAAAGTGTCGGGGAGTGTGGAGACCATTTTAAAACGTGGTTTTGCGCTCCACTGCCGCCCTGCACGCGTATATATACAGTGGCTGGGCGGCAAGCGGTTAAAACCTCCAAACATTTTTTTTTTAAGCAGAGGCCCTAGAGCATAAAATGGTGGGTGTTGCATATTTTTAGGTCGCAAGGTATTTACGCATTGGTTATTCAAACACTTTTTTTAAATACACTTTAATGAATTTTAATGCAAAAAAAAAAAAATAAGCAACAATATAATGCCCAGTTTTTTGGTAAAATATAAAAGATGATGTCACCCCAAATAAATAAACATATTACGGATTATAAATGCATAGGTCTGTTGAACGGCGGCAAACTTCGGTACCTAAAAATCTCTATAGATGGCGTTTTAAAAGCATTTACAGGTTACCAGTTTAGAGTTACACAGGAGGTCTGGTGCTAAAGTTATTGCTCTTGCTCTGACAGTTGTGGCAATGCCTCACATGTGTGTTGCAATCACCATTTACATATGCGTGTGGGACTGGCACATGATTTTTCCTTTGTGCGTGAGCTTGGTGCAATGAGGGCACTTTAAAAAAAAAAAAATGTTTTTCTTTGTTTATGCGAGACTGAAACCAGAAGTAGCTACATCCTCATCACTCTCAGTTTAGACATCACACAGTGGAAAGAACGACATCAGTTCATCCCACTGTATCTCAGGAACAGGATGTCACCAGTCCCATCTTTACCGGGCTTCCCAATAACACAGGAGAGGCGGGTAAATGTGGCAGCCGAGGGATTTGTTTTGTGATCTGCAGTGAGCTAGAGATATGAGGGGCATTAAGTCAAACCAGGACTTTAATTTTACAGGTATAAAAAGGGATGCTAGTGTGGTGGTACTACACACGCAGTAGCAAGTGTGTCCTATTACTGATACACGGTGCACATCTCGTAGGCCAATCCAGAGACTGTTAATCAAGACAGTCAGCAGTGTTCATGCATGCATGGAACAGCATGTGGTGATGAAGTTTCTTGTGAACAAAGGTGTAAAACCTGTGGATATCTACAGAAAACTTCAAGCACAGTATGGTGACAAGACCCTCAGCCACTGTAAGACATCTGGATTATTTAAACATTTCAAAGATGGCGGTACGTCCATCAGTGACAACCCCGGCCATGGTGTTTCCGGCCCACAGCAGTCATTCCTGTGAATATTCAGTGCGTGGACCACCTACTCCTGCATAATGGACACATAGCCTGTCGTGAAATTGCACAAGAGACTAATATTTCTGTGGGAAAGGTGAACACAATTATGACAAAGTGAAAGAGGCTGTCCTAGGATGGTTCAGGCATACTAACAAACCCTTCTATGCCAAAGCTCACCAGGCATTAGTTAAACACTGAGATAAGTGTATAAATGTAGCAGTGGAGTATGTTGAAAAATACAGTTTCCACTTCTTGAAATTTGTCCTTTTATTATATAAACTCAAAAGTCCTGGTTTGACTTGCACGCCCCTCATATATACAACCTAAATCCATCTGATTTAGAAACAGCGATGCAAAATGCTGTTGGAAGTGGTCTCTGGGTGAGAAGTAAATATACGCTATATTACCAAAAGTATTGGGATGCCTGCCTTTACACGCACATGAATTTTAATGGCATCCCAGTCTTAGTCCATAGGGTTCAATATCGAGTTGGCCCACCCTTTGCAGCTATAACAGCTTCAACTCTTCTGGAAAGGCTGTTGACAAGGTTTAGGAGTGTGTCTATGGGAATGTTTGACCATTCTTCTAGAAGTGCATTTGTGAGGTCAGGCACCGATGTCATACAAGAAGGCATGGCTGTCAGTCTACGCTCTAATTCATCCCAAAGGTGTTCTATCGGGTTGAGGTCAGGACTTGTGCACTGATGCGCAGTCATGTTGGAGCAGATAGGGGCCATCCTCAGACTGTTCGCACAAAGTTGGGAGCATGAAATCGTCCAAAATATCTTGGTATGCTGTTGCCTTAACGAAGGGGCCAAGCCCAACCCCTGAAGAACAACACCACACCAAATTCCCACCTCCACCAAATACTACACTTGGCACAATGCAGCCAGCCAAGCAACCGCGAAACCCAGGCAAGTACATCAGATTTGTGAGAGAACATGCCTCCCCTGCTCTAGAGTGCTTTACACCACTGCATCCAATGCTTTGCATTGCACTTGGTGTGATGAAAGATGCTTAGATGCAGCTGCTCAGCCATGGAAACCCATTCCATGAAGCTCTCTATATGCACTGTTCTGCTACTATGAAGGCCACATGAAGTTTGGAGGTATTTGGCTATTGACTCTGCAGACAGTTGGTGACGTCTGAGCACTGTGGGTTTAAGCATGCGCTGACCCTGCTCTGTCATTTTATGTGGCCTACCACTTTGTGGCTGAGTTGCAGTTGTTCCCAGTTGCTTCCACTTTGTTATAATACCAACACTAATAATATAACAGTTGACCGTGGAATATTTAGCAGCAAGGAAATTTCACAGATGGACTTATTTCACAGATGGCAACCTATCAAGGTACCACGCTTGAATTCACTGAGCTCCTTAGAGCAACCCATTCTTTCACAAAATGTTTGTAGAAGCAGTCTGCATGCCCAGGTGCTTGATTTTATACACCTGTGGCTGTGAAGGTGATTGGAACACCTGAATCCAATGATTTCGGTGGGTGTCCCAGTACTTTTGGCAATATAATGTACTTGAATTCAGCCTCTTAGAACAAAAGATATATTAAAGGAATTGTGTGTATTATATGGTGTACAATGTCATTTCACTGTATGTGGGAAGATAAAACAAATGCAAAAGAAGCCTCCCTATGAGTTGTCACATAAGATAAAAATTGTGATGGAACTCTTAAGCCTAGTACACATGGTCTGGATGTCGGGTGGCATCGAACAGTTCAATCGAAACCGTCGGATATTCAGCACGTGTGTACGGCAGCCGGTTCGGCAGGGGCATGACCAAAAAAGGTCCAATGGCTGAGAGCACTGACTGAAGTGTTCTGGTGAGGGGGGCCACCCCCCCCCCAAACATTTTAAGGTGGAGAGACCATGGAAAACACAGTATAGCACTTACCATTCTCCCAGACAGAACAGAGTTAATACTGTCACACAGTGCTCTGTAAATCTGAGTGAACATAGGAGTAGACAACATTCAAAAACCTGAATCCCCTTCATGCAACTAAAATAAGGGCCATCAAAAAATGATTTAATAAAATGAAGATAGAGTGATAATTTAAAGGAAGAAAATGCTAAAATTTAAAAAAAAGTTTTATATTAATAGTAAAAAGGTCCGGTCCGAGCATGTAGGCCCTTTACAAAATAATCTAGAGTGGGTGACTGGGGATAAAAAGAAGGCAAATTTTTTTTAATACCTTCTTCAGCTCTGTGTATACAAAGGAGTATGGGGGAGCTCTTGTCCATAATGGGCATGGTATTGACACAGCTCCAGATGATCCACATTGGCTCACAATTGATATGATACAAAAATATTTAGACAGAATAAAGGTGAATAAAGCACCTGGACCAGATGGCATACACCCACGAGCCTTAAAGAATTGAGCTCTGTCATTTCAAAGCCATTGTTTCTAATTTTTAGAGACTCTTTAATGACTGGCATAGTACCGCTGGATTGGCGTAAGGCCAATGTGGTTCCAATATTTAAAAGGGGTCAAAATTTTTACCAAGTAATTATAGACCTGTTAGTTTAACTTCTATAGTTGGGAAGATACTTTAGAGCAGGGGTGTCCAAACTTTTTTGGAAGAGTGCCAGATTTGATGAAGTGAACATGTGCGAGGGCCGACCATTTTGCCCGACATTCTGATGAACCATTAAAATTAAATGCAAATGAACTATTTCATGCAAAAGTTTATTGAAAACGGCATACTTTTCATTTTGTGACTTGGATGACAAATCTAAACAGGTGTTAAATCACTCTGCCAGCCCAGGGAGAAGGAAAGCCCAAATCTCGCAAGATCTCGGAGGTCGCGAGATTTGGGCTTTGTTTCTCCTTGCACTGTCTGATGACGTCAAGCAATCCTGAGCACCAATCCATTATAGCCCCAAATTGATACCGTATTTTTCGCTCCATAAGACGCACCTGACCATAAGACGCACATAGGTTTTAGAGGCGAAAAACAGGAAAAAAAAATTCTGAACCAATGGATTGCAGACATAGTACAGGAGATGGCCAGAGACTGCGGACATAGTACAGGAGATGGCCAGAGACTGCGGACATAGCACAGGAGATGGCCAGAGACTGCGGACATAGCACAGGAGATGGCCAGAGACTGCGGACATAGCACAGGAGATGGCCAGAGACTGCGGACATAGCACAGGAGATGGCCAGAGACTGCGGACATAGCACAGGAGATGGCCAGAGACTGCGGACATAGCACAGGAGATGGCCAGAGACTGCGGACATAGCACAGGAGATGGCCAGAGACTGCGGACATAGCACAGGAGATGGCCAGAGACTGCGGACATAGCACAGGAGATGGCCAGAGAGACTGCGGACATAGCACAGGAGATGGCCAGAGACTGCGGACATAGCACAGGAGATGGCCAGAGACTGCGGACATAGCACAGGAGATGGCCAGAGACTGCGGACATAGTACAGGAGATGGCCAGAGACTGCGGACATAGTAAAGGAGATGGCCAGAGACTGCGGACACAGTACAGGATATGGCCAGAGACTGCGGACACAGTACAGGAGATGACCAGAGACTGCGGACACAGTACAGGAGATGACCAGAGACTGAGGACACGGTACAGGAGATGACCAGAGACTGAGGACACGGTACAGGAGATGACCAGAGACTGAGGACACGGTACAGGAGATGACCAGAGACTGAGGACACAGTACAGGAGATGACCAGAGACTGAGGACACAGTAGAGGAGATGACCAGAGACTGCGGACATACTACAGGAGATGACCAGAGACTGCGGACACAGTACAGGAGATGGCCAGAGACTGCGGACATAGTACAGGAGATGGCCAGAGACTGCGGACATAGTACAGGAGATGGCCAGAGACTTCGGACAGTAAAGGAGATGGCCAGAGACTGCGGACACAGTACAGGATATGGCCAGAGACTGCGGACACAGTACAGGAGATGACCAGAGACTGCGGACACAGTACAGGAGATGACCAGAGACTGCGGACACAGTACAGGAGATGACCAGAGACTGCGGACACAGTACAGGAGATGACCAGAGACTGAGGACACAGTACAGGAGATGACCAGAGACTGAGGACACAGTACAGGAGATGACCAGAGACTGAGGACACAGTACAGGAGATGACCAGAGACTGAGGACACAGTACAGGAGATGACCAGAGACTGAGGACACAGTACAGGAGATGACCAGAGACTGAGGACACAGTAGAGGAGATGACCAGAGACTGCGGACATACTACAGGAGATGACCAGAGACTGCGGACACAGTACAGGAGATGACCAGAGACTGGACACAGTACAGATGACCAGAGACTGCGATGACCATTCACAAAGCGAAGCGCATGCGCAGTGGACACCCGGCTGTCACAGAAGCCAGTGCGGGAAGACTGTGCAGCGCTGGAGCGAGGAACAGGTAAGGCCCCGCAGGAGACAACAGCTGAGCGGCCGGCCCGGTATTCTGACATGGTGGCGGCAGAAATACCGGACCGGCCGCTTTATATTCGCTCCATAAGACGCACTGACATTTTCCCCCCTTTTTTTGGGGGAAAAAAGTGCGTCTTATGGAGCGAAAAATACGGTAAATGGTAGCCCCAGTAGTAATTCCCTGCACACCACCTGGGATCCCTCGGCCCACGTTCTGGACCCCACAGATGAGCTGCCCAATATATAACTTACGGCCCTCCACTAGTGATTCTGCGAACGCCACTGAGGACTCCAGGGATCTGTCGAGCGGGAATTGACGTCATCAGCCGGCACACAGAGAAGGAAAGCCCAAATCGCACGAGATCTCGGACGTCGCGAGATTTGGGCTCTCCTTCCTGTGCCAGCTGATGATGTCAAGAGATCGCTGAGTCCTCAGTAGCTTTCAGGGAATCACTACCGGGGGCCGTAAGTTATATATTTGGGTAGCTCACCTGTGGGGCCGTTTCAGTCCGGAACGCGGGCCGCAATTGGCCCGCGGGCCGGACTTTGGACATGCCTGTCTTAGACTATAGGGATGATTTGAGCCATTCCGGTCTCCAATGAGCTCTATGGTAAGCTGGCAGAAACACCAGCTGCATTCTCAGGTTCCCCCAATGGGACTGTCTGAGAACGCCGTGGAAGGCAGCAGGGGAGGGGGGGGGGCACCTTTTCCCACTGCTTGCAAAAGCAATCCTGCAGCTAATTAGCCACTAGGATTGCTTTTACACGAAAGCCCATCACCGGCTGAAAAAAAATGATACCAGGAAGATGCCTGCAGCTACAGGCATCATCCTGGTATAACCACTCAAAGTCCAGTGATGTACCAGTACGTCGCTGGTCCATGTTGGGTATATATGCAATGTTCTTTTTTTTTTATGCAGCCTGTGGGCTGTAAGTAAAAGAAAATAAATCTCTGCCAGAAAAAGAGTATGTGGTATGCCCAACATTAGAATATACTGCCCTGCATCCACCCACTTCTAAAAAGGTGGGCACAATGAAATGTGCCAAAAATTATTATAAAATATATATGCCAAAGCATAGGGGCCATCCACCCACTGGCCACCCCAGGCCCCCATGCTTCGGCATATATGCTCTTTTTTTTTTATATATACAGTCAGGTCCATAAATATTGGGACATCAACACAATTCTAACATTTTTGGCTCTATACACCACCACAATGGATTTGAAATGAAACAAACAAGATGTGCTCTAACTGCAGACTGTCAGCTTTAATTTGAGGGTATTTACATCCAAATCAGGTGAACGGTGTAGGAAGTACAACAGTTTGCATATGTGCCTCCCACTTGTTAAGGGACCAAAAGTAATGGGACAGAATAATAATCATAAATTAAACTTTCACTTTTTAATACTTGGTTGCAAATCCTTTGCAGTCAATTACAGCCTGAAATCTGGAACGCACAGACGCTGGGTTTCATCCCTGGTGATGCTCTGCCAGGCCTCTACTGCAACTGTCTTCGGTTCCTGCTTGTTCTTGGGGCATTTTCCCTTCAGTTTTATCTTCAGCAAGTGAAATGCATGCTCAATCGGATTCAGGTCAGGTGATTGACTTGGCCTTTGCATAACATTCCACTTCTTTCCCTTAAATAACTCTTTGGTTGCTTTTGCAGTATGCTTTAGGTCATTGTCCATCTGCACTGTGAAGTGGCGTCCAATGAGTTCTGAAGCATTTGGCTGAATATGAGCAGATAATATTGCCCGAAACACTTCAGAATTCATCCTGCTCCTTTTGTCAGCAGTCACATCATCAATAAATACAAGAGAACCAGTTCCATTGGCAGCCATACATGCCCACGCCATGACACTACCACCACCATGCTTCACTGATGAGGTGGTATGCTTAGGATCATGAGCAGTTCCTTTACTTCTCCACACTCTTCTCTTCCCATCACTCTGGTACAAGTTGACCTTGGTCTCATCTGTCCATAGGATGTTGTTCCAGAACTGTGAAGGCTTTTTTAGATGTCGTTTGGCAAACTCTAATCTGGCCTTCCTGTTTTTGAGGCTCACCAATGAATACATCTTGTGGTGAACCCTCTGTATTAACTCTGCTGAAGTCTTCTCTTGATTGTTGACTTTGACACACATACACCTACCTCCTGGAGAGTGTTCTTGACCTGGCCAACTGTTGTGAAGGGTGTTTTCTTCACCAGGGAAAGAATTCTTCGGTCATCCACCACAGTTGTTTTCGGTGGTCTTCCGGGTCTTTTGGTGTTGCTGAGCTCACCGGCGCGTTCCTTCTTTTTAAGAATGTTCCAAACAGTTGTTTTGGCCATGCCTAATGTTTTTGCTATTTCTCTGATGGGTTTGTTTGTTTTTTTTTCAGCCTAATGATGGCTTGCTTCACTGATAGTGACAGCTCTTTGGATCTCATCTTGAGAGTTGACAGCAACAGTTTCCAAATGCAAATAGCACACTTGAAATGAGCTCTGGACCTTTTATCTGCTCATTGTAATTGGGATAATGAGGGAATAACACACACCTGGCCATGGAACAGCTGAAGCCAATTGTCCCATTACTTTTGGTCCCTTAACAAGTGGGAGGCACATATGCAAACTGTTGTAATTCCTACACCGTTCACCTGATTTGGATGTAAATACCCTCAAATTAAAGCTGACAGTCTGCAGTTAAAGCACATCTTCATTTCATTTCAAATCCATTGTGGTGGTGTATAGAGCCAAAAATGTTAGAATTGTGTTGATGTCCCAATATTTATGGACCTGACTGTATATATATGCGGATGAAAAATCTCATCCAACAGCACTGCACACACGTACTTATGTACTGTATATTCTGAGAGAAAGACCCTGTTGCAGCTGAATGAAATGCCTGCAAAGAAACAGCAATGGTTGACAGTAAAAACAATAAAACAGTAACATTGTAACAGTAGAACAGTAACAACAAAAAAACTATAACTATGTTTGGTTTTTAAAATAATTTTTTTTTTTTTTTGGAGGGGGGGGGGGGGGGGATTTGTACTTTTTATTTTTTACGCTTTTTTTTTTAAACTTCAAACTTTTAGAACAGATTGTAGGGTCTCTCAAAATGTGATCTTTTGAGACCGTGTGTAAATATCTGCCCTAAACTGTGCAGTGCTCTACCCTATACTAATACTCCACTAGTATGTGGTAGCAACGGAAGCAGTCCTTGAGGCAGAGACCAGGTTGGCCAGGACAGGAGGGACAAAAAAAAAAAAAAAAAAACCACAGGTGTCACGCCTAGTTCCATGTCTGCTACAGACACAACATCTACTTTAGGGTGTGTTTTGCGTTGGGGTACCAGGAATGGAATCGAGAAAATGCCTCTCATGCAGCCGGCTAACTGCATCTGGGTTGGGTGTTTGGGCCATAGCACCTTCTGGATACAAAAGGGCAGTGATGATCTCTTCCTGGAATTTTAGGAAGGATCTACTTCGTCCAGTTGCTTTGCAAAGCACAAAAGCATAATATAGAGCCAATTGAAATAAATAAACAGACACTTTTTTGTACCAGCATCTGGCTTTAAGGGAAACGTAAGTAGGGCTTCATTATCTGGTCGTTGCAGTCCACCCCTCCCATGTTAAGGTTATAGTCATGGACACAGAGGGGCTTAACAACACCAGCTGCCGTGAAAATTTGGATGGTCGTGTCTGCGTGAATGGAAGAAAGGACGAAAACATCCAGTTTGTCCTTCCACTTCACTGCGAGCAATTCCTCGTTTCTCAAGCAGGCTTTTTCCCCTAAGATGTGTATTTACAAGCCGTTGGGGGAAGCCTCGGCGATTTGGTCGCACAGTGCCACATGCACCAATTCCAAGATTGTACAAATGTCTAAATAGTGGCACGCTTAAATAAAAATTGTCCATGTATAAGTGGTACCCCATATGGAAATAGGATGACACCGTGTCAAACTATCTTGCCACTGCTCCCCATGTAGTCTGGGCATCCGGAGAGCTCCCTCGTAAATCCGAATCTTATATGTATAGCCTGTTGTCCTCTCACAGGTCTTGACCCCATATCTGGCACGCTTGCTGGGGAGAAACTGAATGCAAGAAGGGATTGATCATCCAACTTAGGCTGACCATCACTGGCCTAAATCGGATGACTGATCCCTTGGGGATCAAATCACGGCACCCGTGCATCCCCCTCAGCCTGCGAAAACCGCAAGAACGCAAATCACATATATATATATATACGGGATTTTGCGCACCCGTACCGCCCTGTAGCAGTATTTATGCTCAACTAAAACAAAACAAAAAAAGCAAAGATTGTAAGACACAAAAAAAAAGTTGCAACAAAAAGAATGCATTAAAAACAAAAC